TAACTTTTTTTCATTTCAGCATATTATGGGGGTACAAATGTTTAGGCTACATATGTTGCCTTTGCCCTGCCTGAGTCAGAGCTTCAAGCGTGTCCATCCCCTAAGTGGTGCGCACAATACCCAGTAGGTGTGAATATACCCATCCCCCCCCTCACCTGCCTGACACCCGATGTATGTTACTATTATATGTGCAGATAAGTGTTGATCAGTTAATACCAACTGAATTGCAAAATAACTTAGTCGAACCCATTAAGCCCAATTCACAGCTTTTTCACCCCTGAGAGTTTTTTCTCTTCTGAGATTTTTTTCAGCATTATCAACTGGCTTCTATGGTAAATAGTAATACTCAAGTGGCAAACAAACTTACAACTACTAGTTCACTTCTTGTACTCTTCTGAAAAAAATTCCCCTACAAAAGATTCTTCTTGTGGGAGGATGACACTGATGTTAACTTGATTAGGATTTTGTGATCTCTAATCAAAACAAGTCCAAGTAATCAAAGGCACAGGAATACAGATGTGATCTAAACCAATGCCTCATATAATGTGAATGTCTTCTTAAACAGTAAACATTTATGTAACTTATGATAATAACTCTATTATTAGCATTTACATAGCATCTTTTTCACTTGAGCCTAAAGTACCATATATATGCAATAATTCTCACAATAACATTATGAAGCAGAGACATGGCGTGGATAATTATTTCCATTTTGCTGAAGATAAAAACAGGGCAGGGAAACATGATTATTTCCCCAGATCAGAACAAGTGAGTGAAAGGCTGTCATTTAAAAAATTTTATTTAGTAATTTATTGAGTTTCATCCATGTGCTTGGCCCTGTGGAGGACAGTCAGTGTGTTTGTGCAGGGGGAGGTGAGGGAAAGGTGATTTGAATAACACAATACAAAGAGAAGAACAATTTGAGTCTGTAACTCCAACTCAAGCTATCAACACAAAAGTTCAATTCGCCATTGGACACAGTCTAAAAACTACAAACTCATCTACAGCTGCCTTGTCCCAGGAGCGAGAGATTCCTTACTCACTTATGACAGGCATGAATGTCAAAAATATTCAATTTTTACATTCCTGATAGGAGGGGACAGTATGAGGGACTTCCTCTTATGAGGAAATGGGATGAGATGAAAACTATATACTCACACATTCCCCTATGATGCCATCCAAAGTAGCAGCCCATTATCCTCTGTCCCTTGCCCTGTTTATTCTTCATAGCACATGCACATTCATGTTTTAAATTGTCTATATTCCCAACAGAATATATGCTCTAGGAGCATACATTTGTCTTTATTCATTAAAGTTTTCAGGCCATAGAATAGTGCCTAGCATGTATCACAGGAACTAAAAAATATTTGTTAAATCAATTTAGAATGCCCAAAGGTTATATAGTTCCAATTCTGCCACTGATGGGTTTCATGACCTTAGAGAAGCCATTTCATTTCCTGGGCTGTCAGTTTAAAAAAAAAAAGGCATTCAACCATAGAATCCCTTTCCATGATTCAATGCTCAATTTTCATGTACACAATGAACTATAACACAAGGCAAAAGTGTGATGTGATAAACTAGAGTGTAGTGGAAAAGTGTCATGTTTCCTGGCTGCCCAGAACCTTTTGAATATCCTTTTTCCATTTACAGAATTTGCTACCTTTTGATTCCTGCTCCTCCAAGGAGGAGTCTTGAAGCTCACCCACCTAGCCTTCCTTTTAGCTAGTGACTGGCTATATGACTTAGGTTCTGTCTATGAGCTGCCCCTTTAAGAGATTTATTTAAAAAGTAAGCAATGTAACAAAGCAGGTACTTTGTGGAATTCATTTTTGGCAGGTAGGCTGAAGGGGAAGAGTTCCTGCACTCCAAGGCTCCACCAACCATGGAGTGAGAAAGTCTGGGCTATGCAGCAGCAGTGGGGGCTCTGCTGGTGTAATCTTGAGGTGTGATCTGCGGTTTGGGTTATATTCCTGGCTACATGGCCTCTAAGCCACTCATCTCAAGATTCTATGAACTACTTCATATCCTTTAATAAATTACTTTCTACTTATACTAGCTAGATTGGGTTCTGATGTTTGCAACTAAGAATCCTGACTGATATAAGGAGATACAAACATAATGTTGGAGACACAGAAGAGAATGGTTGACTTTATTTGGGAGAAATCAAGAGAGGCTTCAGGGTAGAGGGGAGCTTTGAGTGTGAGTAGGCTTTCAACACATGAAGATGGGAGAAGGGGCACTCTAGGTTGAAATAACAAGAGCAAGGGGACATTCAGATACACTGTCAACGGGCATACAGATTAACAAGTTGTTTAATGTGGGTTAAGATTTGTGGAACAGGGAATGAGAAGGAGAAAAGTATTTCACATAAGAAAACACAAAGCTTTTTGAAGTACCATAAACCTGATGCAAATCCTACTCTGCCATTTTACCAGGTGTGTCCTTGAATAAATAATATAATCTCTCAACCTTTAGTTTTACCATCTTTAATGTGGCTATTGTGCAAGATCATAAATGGCCTCTAAAAGCAGAGCTCTTTTGATGCCAGAATTCCCCGGGACCTTCTGCTGGTACATTTTGCCTCCAGATCATTTGGTCAAAATAAGGTTTAAAGTTAGGGATAATTGCACCCTGCTGGCGAAAATGTAAAATGGCATAGCTGCTATGGAAAACACTATGGCAGTTCCTCAAAAAATTAATAGAGTACCATATGATCCAGCAATTCCATTTCTGGGTATATAGCCAAAAGAACTGAAAGCAGGGACCTCGACAGATTATTTGTGCATCTGTGCTCACAGAAGCATTATTTACAACGGCCAAAAGGAGGAAGCAACTCAAGTGTCCATCGACGGATGAATGGAAACAAAATATGGTATAAACTTATACCATGCAGTACAAGGGAGCATTACTCAGCCTTAAAAAGGAAATTCTGACATATGCTATAATGTGGATGAACCTTGAAGACATTATGCCAAGTGAAATAAGCCAGTCACAAAGAGACATATATAATGTATCATTCCACTTATATGAGGTTCCTAGAGTGGTCAAACTCATACTGACAGAAAGTAGGATGGTGGCTGCTATGGGCTGTGGGGAGAGGAAAATGGGGAGTTATTGCTTAATGGGTACAGTGCTTCAGTTTGGGAAGATGAAAAAAGTTCTGAAGATGGATGGTGGTCGCACAACAATGTGAATATACTTAATGTCACTAAACTGTGTGCTTCAAAATGGTTAAAATGGTAAATTTTACATTATATATATTTTACCACAATTTAAAACGTAGGTTGTCCTAAGTTAAACAAAATGACCACAACTACTAGAAAAAAACTATAAATTTCACGGTGTAACATTTTCATACCTGAGAAAAAAACTTCCATTTTTTTCAGAAAAACTAAAAAAAAAATTATGAGTGAAATAAGATCAATTTATAAAGTTGCTAGAAGATGAAACACTGAGATGAGACACTTAATTCAGGGACCATCTGTACACATCAATGATTCCAACTATTGTTTCTTCATGGATTATTCACATATATACATATTTAGGCATGGCCTCTCTTTCTTAACTTTTAGTTCTAGATTTCTTTCTATTTAGGCATGGCCTCTCTTTCCTAACCTTTAGTCCTAGATTTCTAACAATGCCTAGAAATTTTCTTTTGGATACTTCCCTACCACATCAAAATTTACAAATGTATTTGAGCTCTGAGTTCATTTTTGCCTTAAAACCAACTTACCTTTATGGATATTCCTTTTCAGTCCCAATTTTTCAGACTCACACAATTGGAACCTTCTTTGATTCCTACCAATCCTTTTCTCCCATCATCCACTTGGTTATTACATACAGTACTATTCAGTTATTGTAACCTTGGTCTCTATACCTCTCACCTTTACTACACAACACCAAGACTGTCATTGTCATCTCTCCCCATCCACACTATTACATACACTTTTGCTAGGTTAATGTTTCTAAAACATGGCTTGGAACATTCATAGTTCCATCATTCATTCTGCAAACATTTGCTGAATGTTTACTTTACGCAAAGCCCAATGTTACTCCAAAATGCAGAAATGAATTAGATAAAGGTCTGTTTACAATTTAGTAAGAAGAAAAACTTGCACATAAATAATTTTAGCTCAAAGTTAGAAAGTTGTAATAACTGAATACACAAACTTCAGAAAGTATGATGGACATTCAGTAGAAGGAAAATTTATTTCTAGATGAAGATGTCACTTTGTAAAGCTTTAAAGAATGGATAGAATTTCAACATCTAGAGATGATGGGAGGGATAGGTATTCCAAGCAAGGGATATAAGCAATCTATAGAAACGTGAAGGGTAGTTCATGCATGAAGTACTTTACAAGGTCTGGTTTACCACAGAAAGAGGGAGAATGGAAGGGGAACAGCAGATAATAAAGTTAGGATTTGAATCCAATTAATAAATGTGGCCTTTAATCTACAGGCAACAGGGAGCCATTGAATATTTTGGATCAAGGCTGTGCTTCAAGATGACTACACCTATAGCAGGTATATGTAAGATAGGGTGGTACAGGAGTGATGCTAGCTAGAGATAGGGTATCAATGAAAAAGTACTGGATTTCCACTGTTCAAGGGATGATATGAGAGCTCCGATTAGGTGGAGGCAGCGGGTAAGGAGAGAGGGTGGATGCCAGAATTACTGCAGAGGTACAATCACAGAACTTGGCAACTGACTGGAACAAGGGAAGGAAAGGCATCAAATTAAGACGTCAAAATGTCCACGATGGTTGTATTAACAAAGAGGGGTGCACAGTCAGGGAAGCAATTTGGGAGGAAAGAGGCCAAGTTACGTCAGGGATATCAAGCGTTTATATACTTGTGGAACGTACGAGAATAAATGGCCAAGACTCTTGGAAGTGTCTGGATACTGACGAGTGAAGGTGGTGCAGAGAGGGTGTTTCCGCAAAAACACGCACAAAACGGACTACAGAAATCGCACTACCGTGCTGGAGTGAAAGGCGTACCGTGGCTGAAGTAATCCAGTCGTGCCCACTCTTCGCCGTCCGTTCTCACCTGACATTCTCCACAGAGACTCCGCAGCGGACGGCCGGAAGCAGCTTTTCCCTCTCTTCTCGGCATATTCTCAAAACTTCCGCCCCTACCGGTCACTGGCTCCCAGAGGGGCGCAATAGGCGGCGACATCTGTGACTACCCAGTCCCCGTGCGGGCTGGAAGCGCACAGAGGGCGACAGCCACTACTTCGCCCGCTCCCTGGCTGCATCGACGTTTTTAGCTCAACGCGTTGCGCCAGCGTTTGAAAAAACACCGCGAGTCAAACGAAAATCTACTGGGTGAGCCCTAGATATCGCGAGACTTGATGGGCAGCCGCCGGAAGCGGAAGTCCGGTGATGGTCGGCTTCTAGAGGAAGAGGCTCGGTTACCTTGGAGAGCGGTAGCGGTCTGGAGTTCCACTGTGGGGTGAGCCAGGCTGCTTGTCCTGCGCGTGTCGCGGGCGGGTGCAGCCCAAGCGGCACAGACAGACACAGCCCCTGGCGGGTGGGTCGCTGGGGACCACAGGGAGGAGGGAGCGGGGCGGGCCGAGCTGAGCGGCCGACGAAGTGTCCCCGGTTTGCGCGGTGGTCTGTACTCTGCGAGGCCGGAGGCCGTTGACCTCTCACGGCCCGTAATTTCCTTCACTGGCGGAGATTTACCGTGCTTCGGAGGGGAGCCGGTCTGTCAGAGCCTTGGCGAACAAGCCGTGATGTGCTGGGAGGGCGGACTGGAAAACGCAGTTTTCTGTCAGCGTCTTCGTCTGTGCTCTGGGCTCCAGTCCTAGGACAGCAAAACCCTTTTCCCGTTAGTCATTTCCAGGGCTAGTCCCCCGCAAACAGAATGTGATTTTATTTGTGGTCGATCAGTTTAATGGTGTTCGAATACAAATCTGAAAGGCTTGCCCTTTATTTATTTATTTATTTTTTCCTGTCTTAACAGAAAAGAACATACATTGTGAAATTGTCATTCATGCTTGAACTAGCTTGTTGGCTTTGAAGGCCAGGGGACAAGTCTGGTAGCATTTAGCTCTTCACTGCGATGGCTAGTTCTCTTTCGAATGTTGGCTTTGGAAGTCTTTAGAGCACTTTCAATCAAACTCTTCCATTAGGGCTCTGAGGTCGCCCAACCTCAACACACACACACACACACACACACACACACACACCTTTTTAGGGTTTCCTTAAAGGAAGTCACGGGTCGTTTTTTCCTTTTTCTCCCACAGATTTAAACCAAACATTAAACAGTTCAGCTGCGTCAAATTCTTGAGGTAAGTAAAGCTTGCATCAGTGAAAATTCTATTTAAATTCCGTTCTCATGAGTAATAATAAAGCTGGTATTTGTTTACTTGTGTGTGTGGGGGGGGGGAGTCGTGGGAGAACATAAAAATGGAGTAGCACGTTTTCCTTGCCTTAAGATTTTAACTACCCATGTGGATCAGATATGGGTCATCTTTCTAGCCATTTTGTGATCCCTATAGAAATCTAGGCATGATTTTATTTATTTTATTTTATTTTTTATTTTTTTTTTTGAGACAGAGTCTCACTTTGTTACCCAGGCTAGAGTGAGTGCCGTGGCATCAGCCTAGCTCACAGCAACCTCAATCTCCTGGGCTCAAGCAATCCTCCTGCCTCAGCCTCCCGAATAGCTGGGACTACAGGCATGCGCCACCATGCCCGGCTAATTTTTGCTATATATGTTAGTTGGCCAGTTAATTTCTTTGTATTTATAGTAGAGACGGGGTCTCACTCTTGCTCAGGCTGGTTTCGAACTCCTGACCTCGAGCGATCCGCCCGCCTCGGCCTCCCAGAGAGCTAGGATTACAGGCGTGAGCCACCGCGCCCGGCCTGGCATGATTTTAATTAGCTGGATTTATTTTAAACTCGTTCCTTGGATTTGAGAGTTTGACATTAGTTTGCTAATGACACATTGAAAGTGGAAGTCCGATGATAGTCGGCTTCTAGAGGAAGAGGCTCCCTTACTTGGAGAGCGGTGGCCGTCAGGAGTTCCACTGTGGGGTGAGCGCGAGGCTGCTTGTCCTGCATGTGTCGCAGGTGGGGTGCAGCCCAAGCGGCACAGACACAGCCCTTAGGTCACTCTATCCTGGGCAACAAAGTGAGACTCTGTCTCAAATAAAAAAAAAAAAATTAGACAATATCTTATCTGTAGTAGTTATTTTTCATTTGTCTCAGGATCTAGAGTAGGAATACTGTGGATACATAATAAAGTAGTTATCCCAAACTTTAATAGCTATGCATTCAAATGCCTTTTTATTTAGGTTATTAAGTATGAAATGTCCAATTTCCTTAAGTACAAAGTTTGATAGTTGATATCCCTGACATTTCACTTTGACAATTCATGTTTTATTTTTCTTGTGATGGTATATCCTCATTCTTTCAAATTCACTATTTGTCTTGTGATTTTTTTTTTATTTTTTTTTGAGACAGAATCTCACTCTGTTGCCCTCACCCTGGGTAGAGTGCAGTGGCATCATCATAGCTCACTGCGACCTCCAACTCCCAGAGTCAAGCGATCCTCTTGCCTCAGCCTCCCGAGTAGCTGGGACTACAGGCACGTGCCACCATACCTGGTTAATTTTTCTATTTTTAGTAGAGACAGGGTCTTGCTCTTGCTCAGGCTGGCCTTGAACTCCTAAGCTTAAGCAATCTTCCCACCCTGCCCTCCCAGAGTACTAGGATTACAAGCATGAGCCACTGAGCCTGGCCTTGCTCCTGTTTTAAGCCAAGCTTCTTTAAAGCTTTATCTGTACTCAATGTAGATTTCTATTTCTTTACCTTCTAGGTACTTTTCAATCAATTGCAGTCTTGCTTCAATCCCCCCTACTCTAAAATAATCATCTCCTAATGGCTAAATCCAATTAATTCTTTTTTTTCTCAACATGAGGAAACAACCAATTAATTCTTCTTTGTTCTTTCTATTACTATATCATTTGCCACTGTTGACTACTCTTTATTCTCTTGCCTTCTATAATAATCTCTTCTGGTTTGCCTCTTATCTAGCAGTGTGTTTTCTCCTCTTTTATTTTATCCTTTTTCTTTTTTTAAGACAGTGTCTCCCTCTATCACCCAGGTGGGAGTATAGTGGCATGATCATAGCTCACTGCAGCCTCAAACTCCTGGGCTCAAGTGATCCTCCTGCCTAGGCCTTCTGAGTAGCTAAGACTATAGGTGTAGTGCCACTGTGCCTGGCTAATTTTTAAATTTTTTGTAGAGATGGGGTCTCGCTGTTGCCCAAGCTGGTCTTGAACTCAGGCCTCAAATGATCCTCCTGCCTTGGCCTCTCAAAGCCAGCGTGAGCCAACATGCCCAGTCCCTTCTTTATCTTTGACTATTCTTTAAATGTTGATGTTTCCAGGATTCTGTTCCTTGATACTCTTCTTCCTATCCATCTACTAACAAGGCCCAATCCTGCTTAGTTTCTGAGATCAGATGAGATTGGGCACGTTCAGGGTAATATTGCTTAGACCTTGATACTCCTCTTAGTTCCCATTCTTCTTGAGGAATTTCATCCATTCTTACAGGATTAACCACTAGCAAAATTGCCAGTGTCTCCCATATTCATCTTCAACCCAGTTCAAAGTCCCAAATAGTTAACTGTGAGCTGACTTTCCATTTGGATGTTTGTACCAAGGTAACTTCAAACTCAAGTGTGTATCCTCACCCACCTTTCTTCCTGTAGTTCTGTGATGCCATAATTTATGCCAAAGGCTGAGAATTTGTTCCCCCTTCTACTCTCACATCTAGTCAGTGATTAATTCCTCCTGGAATCTTTTAAAACTAAATCTTTTAAATCTTTTAAACTCAACCCATGATTGAGATTAAGCCTTCAGCATGTTACCTACTTTATTGCAATAATCTGCCTTTAGTATAATCTCACTAATATATTCTTAAACTTGTTAGAAAAGTGATCCTTCTAAATAGTAAATTTGATCTTGAAAATTCCCTGCTGAAACCATATATGATACCCCATTGCCTATCAGAAAAAGTGCAAAACTGTTTGCGTTGAACACAAAGTTTTTCACGATTTGACTCCTGCTTACCTCTCCAGCCTCATTTCTTGATATCCTCTTCTGCTTCTCCTTTTATATTTATACCGTATCTATCTCTTCTACTAGACTGGGAGCTCTTTGGGGTCAGAGTCCATGATATATAGGTCATCTTCACATCCCAGGCTCCTAGTTAGCAAAATGCCTGCAACGCTGTAGTCAAGAAATGTTGAATTGAATGTCTGAAATCTGGCTTAGTTTGAAAGTACACAAAGACTTCTGTGAATACCCTGCCTAAAATTGTTTACTTCTTGGTTTTTCATTATCTAGTAAGATAGTGTTAATTTTTACATTTTTGTAATAGAAATATCTTAAAAATTATACAGAATTTCAGAATGACTGACATTTCTGAAGCTATTTCAAATTTTGAAGAGATGTTTGCCAGTAGATTCACAGAAGATGACAAAGAGTACCAGGAATACCTGAAACGCCCTCCGGAGTCCCCTCCAGTTGTCGAGGAATGGAATAGCAGAGCTGGTGGGAACCAAAGAAATAGAGGCAATCGGTATGTGTTACTGTGCAAGAACAGAATAATAAATGCAGACGGTTGATGTGGGAGAGGATAGCTTTAATCTACTAGACCATAAGGCCAGTGAGGGAGCAACCAGTGTTTTCAGTACGGTATACCCAATGCCTAGTAACAGTACCTGGCACATAGTAAGTGCTTAATAAATACTTGCTTTAATATTTTGTCAGGACCATATATTCTTTTAGTTGCTGTTCAGTTGTGTATATGTGTGTGTGTTTTAATGTTGTTTTTAAATGTTCTTTCTGTAGACTAATACTTTCTTTGCAAATATACTTTAAAATGTAGAATCTTCTAAAACTTTGTATTTGATTCCATAAAGAAGATATAGTTTTGGTTTTACTTTAGAAAGAAGTTTATAAAATGAAATTACTTCTGTTTAATAATTCAAAATAGTAAAAGGAATAAATTACCATACTGCTTTTGTACAATTGGATAGATTTCAGTTTAAATTAGAACTGTCGTATTTGTTTGGGTTTGTTGTAGTCTGCTTATTTCTCTGTAAAGTGTACCCAGTGTACTACTGGAAGAATGATTTAAATATTAGGAAAGTTTTGAATAACTGGTGCTATAACATTCCATAGTGAAAAATGTTTTTTTACTCTTATTTACTATGTATTAGATTGAGAAACCAAATGCACTTGGATAAACTTGTCATGTGTTTTTTTTACAATGGAAATTTAAAAACCTTTTGTTTTGTTGTAGGTTACAAGATAACAGACAGTTTAGAGGAGGGGATAGCAGACGGGGGTGGCCAAGTGACAATCGATCCAATCAGTGGCATGGACGTCCCTGGGGTAACAATTACCCACCACACAGACAAGAACCTTACTATCCCCAGCAGTATGGACAATATGGTTACAACCAGCGACCTCCTTATGGTTACTACTGATAGAAATGTTGGAAGCTTTTAGTAAAACCATTGTCTTTGTTAACATGACAAAAGTTTGTGTGTCTTCTTTTGGTCATAGTGTTACATCTGCTTTTAGAGAATGGCTTATTTTTTTTTAACTTGAGACTTTTTATTTTTAATAGATCTTACTAGAGAGATGTGATGGTTACCGGGAATACCTAAAAATGTTGTGGATTATATTGCCTGACTCTACCTCAGATTCTTCTTTGTTTCATGACTTATAGTGCTTTGAGTTTGGTATATTTTTCTTATTTGACCTATAGGCGCTCTGTCTTTAATTTACACAGAAATAAAAACTTGAAAATAGACAATGCTTGCTTTTACTTTGTAAGGTAAAGGAGTATTCATATACTCAGATGTGGTCATTTCTAAAATTCTAGAGGTTAGTACAATCAGCTCATGGATGCTCAGCTATACTTGTGATATATATCACAGCAGGTGAAAGGTACAATTGTTTTTGGGTTTTTTTTTTTTTGGCTTTTGTTATGTGGCTATAGTACTTACTTTTGTTGCATGACTTGTGGTACTTAATCTATAGATATGAGTCAGCTCCACAATTATTTGGGTGTCTTTTTAAAAGGAAATCAAGAATAAAGCTGTAAAATGAAGAAAGAATCAGTCTCAGTCTCAGTGTCTTGATCTGGTGGTGGGTGGGATTAAGGTACACATCATTTTATACAAACTCTAAGACTTTTTGCTAACTTAAACATTTTGGGTCAGAATTCATGTGTTACACAAAACTTAACTCTGTAATATTCCAACTTTCCTTTTTAATAATCTGTAAATAGTGCTGCATTTTGGCTTTTCTTTTTTGGTATTTAATGTGGGTTGATTTCACAGTGTTATATTCACTTCCAGATGGATACCTTTGCTGTTTCCTCTTCTATAAATACAGTGATGCTGTAACTTCCTTTCAGAGAGAGCATTCTAGTTCAAATCATTTTAATGATTATTACAATAGTTTTATGCAAACAAATTTTTTAAAAAGGTTTAAACAACATTACTCCTAAGTTTTGGCAATTAGCCTACTTATTACTATGGTCAAATGAGTTTTTAGTGTTTTATTACTCTGTCCTTCATACCTGTTGAAAAGGGTTTATTTGGTTTAAGGATAGTATTAAGAGTACAAGTTTTGTCTTAGGTCAAAGGAATTAAAAGGCAACTTCCTAAATCTGCCTTTTGCTGCCTTCCTTTTAGCACCCACACTGGGCCCTTGGGACTGACTTGTCCAGGTACTTCTCCCTGCTCTGGACCCCTCTCTCCCCCACCCCAGCCCCCTTCCTGAAGAGCCACCCTTTCAGGTAACTATTTTATTGGAAAGGATCTAATAAGTCAGGTATTCACATTGAGATGTAAATAAAATTTTAACTAATAAGGTAAGGGTCCCTGAATCCCTCTAATTACATCTATTAATGGGCCACAAGCCAGTGCTGTTACATAAAAGATAGGGTTTTTTTAATTTAATTTTTTAAGAATTTCAAGAGACTTAGGAGGTACAAGTGTGTTTTTTTGTTGGTTTTTTTTTTTTTTTTTTTTTACACAGATGAATTGTACAGTGATGAATTCAGGGCTTTTAGTGTACCCATCACCCAAAAAGTGTACTTTGTACCCAATAGGTAATTTTGGATCCCTCACCCCTTCCAACTCTCCAAAGATAGGTAGATAGGTACAGATATTTAGCCAAGAGAGTCAACAATGGCCTGACTATACCCTAAGATGAGTTATTAAAAATTTCTATCAACTGATAAAGCACAGGTACTAGTTGGGACAGTAGTTGACTATAGCTTTAGGGCAGGACTCTGCTGTGCCAGCTGTTGACACCAATTAGGGAGATGCATGGGTCTAAGGACAGGGTTGGAGAGAGGGATGCTTCTTAGGAAGCTCAGAAGAAAGGTTATTTTCCAACAGTGCTTTATTATTTTAACACCTGGTATAGCTAGGTTGCATATGGCCTGAGTATCGGCCCTGCTTGAAGAAATGGGAAGAGTCTTCCTTTCAACATGAGTTATTTCTGCACACTGAATGAGTAATCTGTGTGGTGGTAGTTTTTGTTTTCTCACAGCAGTCACTGTCAGACTACTCCCTGTGTAAAACCAGGAAGAAATAAAAGAGAAAGATGTTATTTTCTGTCTCATGAAGCAGAGAAAACATGAAAAAAAAAAAAAAAGATAATTTAAGAGTGAAAACAAAGAATTAAAATAGTGTCAAGTAGAATGAATTGTAAACAGTCTGTTATCATAGCATACAATGTTAGACAGGAGTCCTGGCTTCCAGTTCTATCCTTACAACGTATGTGACCTTCAGAAACAACTTATTAGCTCACCTGTAAAAATGGGGACAATACCCACTCTGCCACCCTCACAGGGTTATAAAAATAAATGACCAAGGGAAGTGCTTGGGAACAGAAACTAAAGTTGTAACCATTATCCCCCAGTGGCACATAAGTAGGTGCTGCATAAACACTTGTTGAATAAATGGGAGGGAAGTATTCAGGGAATTGTCAAGCACAGTATTGATAAAAAGGATGTAGAGTATCTGGTAGAGATGAGGCAGGAGACATTGAGAATTAAGGATTTGTGGTTGTTTCCTTATGTGAATTCATATGTGAATTAGTAAAAGGAGAGCAACTTATATCCTTCAGAAAATAACAAACACTTAAGATGTGGAAGAAAGTGTGCATAAAAGTTAGGCTAAAATTAGCAGCATTTGCCCCTTGGAAGTTGGCACTGACTTTAGGATGTCAGAACACCTAGGGATTTGAGATCGACAGTTTGTTTTATTTTGGAGTGCTCGATTTGGGATTTGAGTGCTGGATGTGGGATTATCCAGAATGTAATAACCTAGAGTCACTGCTCTGAGATGAGTTTTTGGGTTCTTGAAACCATATAGTAAAAAGACATTCCCTTGGTTTTTTTTTTTTTTTGAGACAGAGTCTCACTTTGTTGCCCAGGCTGGAGTGAGTGCCATGGCGTCAGCCTAGCTCACAGCAACCTCAAACTCCTGGGCTCAAGCGATCCTTCTGTCTCAGCCTCCCAAGTAGCTGGGACTACAGGCATGCGCCACCATGCCCGGCTAATTTTTTCATATAATATTAGTGGCCGATTAATTTCTTTCTATTTATAGTAGAGACGGGTCTCGCTCTTGCTCAGGCTGGTTTTGAACTCCTGACCTCGAGCAATCCACCGCCTCGGCCTCCCAGAGTGCTAGGATTACAGGCGTGAGCCACCGCGCCTGGCCCGGTATTTTATTTTTTATTATTTTTTTTATTTTTTATTTTTTTGAGACAGAGTCTCGCTTTGTTGCCCAGGCTAGAGTGAGTGCCGTGGCGTCAGCCTCGCTCACAGCAACCTCAAACTCCTGGGCTCAAGTGATCCTCCTGCCTCAGCCTCCCGATAGCTGGGACTACCGCATGCACTATCATGCCCGCTAATTTTTCTATATATATTAGTTGACCAATTAATTTCTTTCTATTTATAGTAGAGATGGGGTCTCGCTCTTGCTCAGGTTGGTCTCAAATCCCTTGGTATTTTATTAATCTAAAGGAGAATACAGGACTTTATGATAGAATTAAGAGTAACAATATGTCAGTTTTAAGTTTAAAATAGTAAAACAGAAGGACATGATCTTTTCCTCTGAAGTTTACTGACAGCACTAATCTGGAACTCTAGTAATAAAGAATTATACTTTGTTCCTAAATATAATTTTTTTACACCTTAAAAATTTCTTAGACTTTCTATTCCATCTGATTCATTCCACCCAAACATATCTTTGGCTGTGAATGGAAATCTATGCCCTAGGCCTTTGACTTCTTTTAATTAGCACCATTATCTAGTCAAAGGGAATTTTTTTTTCATTAGGAAATACAGGAAATAACAAATGCTTTCAGCTTGAGGTGGTTCGTATTACTGTTGGATTTCAGTTAGCTAGAAACGTTACTTGTGAAAGCACTTACTTATAATGTCAGACAAATGGGATATTATATATAAACTATTCACTGAAATACCTATTTGAATTTTTCTTTCAGTCACTTCTATTTTAATCAAAGAAACATATTTTTATATATACATGAGAATTTTGAAATACTAAATAGGCTTTGATTAATTTTGTGTGAAAAAATTACCGTGTTTCCCTGAAAATAAGACCTACCCATAAAATAAGCCCTAGCAGGATTTCTAAACATTTGCCCAATGTAAGCTCTACCCTGAAAATAAGCCCTAGAGATGGGCGTGCCTATGCAGCGCGTCTGCACAACCCGTGTATGTCGTCCTGGAGCGGGAAAGAAGACGAGCAGCCCTTCTCATCTGCCCCATTGTGACAGCTACTATCCCAGAGGTGACCAGAAAGGTGCAGGCAGCCCCACCAACAAGGTCGGCTCCCCCTGTCGGGTCCCGGCCATCCTGTGCGTGCTGCAAGCTGAGGCTTTGAGGGGAAAATGACACATCCCCTGAAAATAAGCCCTAGGGTGTTTTCTTGAGGAAAAATAAATAAAAGACCCTGTCTTATCTTCGGGGAAACACGGTATATAGGTCAAAGAATCTCCTCTGTTTACTTATGAACCTAGAAAGGTATGCTTTTAAAATTCTCAAGTTTTAAATTTAGAATGATTTAAGACCAACCAGAGAAAATACTATCACTGGTAGAAGTTAATATTGTTAATATTTAGATTAGTACTTCAGGATTCAGATATGACATTCTATAATATCTATACAAAGATTTATCCTGGCTCCTGCTATATTAAATTATGGAACCAAATCAGCAAGTTTCAAGGAGTAGATAATACCATTGGACCCCAAGGCAACCTCGAGAGCAAATACTTCCTCTTTTCTGGAAATCTGGTTGATAACTGCTGGGACCAGCTTTTGAGGAAAATAAGGATGGCAGTAGAGATCCCTTGGTCTGTGGACATCTGGGAGAGAATGGCGCTGGGTCTTAATCAGTAGGGCTGCTCCACATCAGCGAATGCCCCGGTGAGGAGGAAGTAACTCTTCCGCTCTAACACTGCTGAGGCCTCTGGCGCCAGAGAAACATTCTACCTCTGAGGATTTCAGATATCGGTGCTGTCAGATGAGCTGTGGCTGACACCCCTCAGATTTAAAGATTTACAGGGTGGGATGGGAAGAGCAGGTTAACCAAGAAGACAAGTCCTCCATCAAAGCTGCTGTGATTTGACTGTCCCACTGCAGGATTAAGTGAAAGCATCAAGCACGCAGCACTGGGCTGGGCACATGACGGGTGCCCAGTCAACGGCAGGTTTGCGCCTGGAGGATTAGAGTGAGGTGGCTCTGGTTTGATGGGCTGTGAGCACGGC